CTGGTAACATCCCCCGGTCGGCGAACGAAAGATAAATCACTCTCCCAAAACCCCCATTTTATTTCCCGACCGTAACACCATCACCTAAGCAAATCAACCAATCTGAAACATTTTTGATCTAAATTTTCGAGGTGTATCTTTCTGATATTTATTTTTTGCATACCCAATTACTCCAACATCTGTAATGTGCAAAATTATAAGTTCAGTGGGGCATATACAAAGCATTATCATAACATTGGCGAGAGCTTGTAAATTGGGTGAAGTAGATATATCATACTTATCCAATCTCTCCTTAACTGACTCAAGTGTGAAATGGTCTGGGTAATCAATTCGATTAGTCTCTTCAGTAATTTTCTTGTATTTCATTGGCTTCTTTTGTAATATCAGGAATTTTGTAGCCTCAATTATTTTGGATGAGGCACCAAGATTTCATAATTCCCTTTGGAGCTGAGAAAGATGCGATGAACTGGCAATTAGCATTTGGGGCTGATAGGGCCATGGCAAGAGCTTTAGCTTTCACATCCTTTATTATTATACTGAGCCTATCTTGCAAAATTTGCTCTAATAGTTTTGTCGGACTAGCTTACACCTGGGAGAGCAGCGGCGTACTAGCCGTTTTGGGATTTAGTTCGTTTCCAACGGAAGCTTTTGCTCTTCCTACTTTAAACTAAATATTTAGACAATTAGTGATCTTTAACTATAGGATTTATACTCACGATCCGTATACTATCGGTCTTGTATACGCCTTTCCTAGGTTATTGCTTAATCTCGAGTATCTCTGCGATTTCCTTGATGGGATTAATCTCGAGACGGGGAATTATACTATCTAATGTGTTGACAATTAATTAAACAATAACCCTGAATGCAAAAGTACTAAATAGAATTAATCGGCAAGAATCAATTCTATTTACCGTCGGCGGGAAAAGCGATTTACAGTGACTCTCTTTATAGTGTATCAAAAAAATCTACTAGTAAAAAATTCTCAAAAATACACTATATTATTCTGACTCAAGAAATTGTAAACCAGGCGACTGAAATTCTTGGCGGCTCAGATACAAGTGCAAATCCACGATACAAACACTGGGTACTGCAAACGTTCAGCATTATGCATATTGGCGAAACAACAAATTTGTTACTCAAAAAAGTAAAAAACCCGTTGCGTTAAAGAGAATATGTACGATGTAGTCTGTTCTATACATCAAGATTTACAGCGCGCTGGTTACAAAAAGACATTCGAAGAACTCAAACACCAATATTGTTGCCAATAGTAACTCCAATATCCGCAAAGCCCATTAAATATATAGACGCTAGAGATCATTTCACTCGTTTTTCCTGGGCAACAGCGTTAAAAAATAAACAAGCCATATACGTAGCAAGCTTTTTATTTCAAACATTTACACAATTTGGTCCACCGGTTTTTTTACAATCTGATAACGGAAAAGAATTTGTCGCGTTAATCATTCGTGAACTTGTTCAGTTATGGCCAAGAACGCGCATTATTAATGGCCGCCCACGACATCCTAGGCCACAAGGATTAGTTGGAAAGGGAATGATATTTTAGAAAACAAGCTTTCTGCATGGCTTGAGGCAAATAACCGTAAAGATTGGAGCATGGGTTTACCGTTGATAGTATGGGCAATGAATACTCAAGTTTGCAGCGCCACAAAACACTCAACTTACCATTTAGTTTTCCAACAACGTCCTCAATGTAATTTAACGTTACTCTACGAACTTTGGAATATGAATATTACCGATGAGGATGATTTACCTGAAAATATTGAAATCGAAGATAGTGAAAAATAACAGTAACGATGAGCAATATGCAAATGTTGAAATCCACAGAAATGACGATGAAGACGTTAACAGTAATTATGAACGAAATACTGATATTGAAGATGATGATATCCCCCCCGATTTCTTTGCCTTCATTTTCTCCTCTCATATCTCCGCAACATATTGCTTCTCAGAATCAACCATCTACTACTACTGTTGACTCACAAGCTATTAGACATAATATGGACGAGTGTGATTCATCTGATGATAATGAATATATTATAGATCAATACAGCACAGGTCATTTTATTCAAGATGCAATGATGCACAGACCATGGAAAATCTTTCCACCTGCCCAAGAATGTGGTATATACAGTATGTGTTTGTCAATTAAATACATGGTTACTTGCTTGACTAAGTAGAGGGGAGATGACAGAGAGTTTATAACGAGGTGTTCAAAGAATCTAATAATTGTGGAGAAACTGACTATAGAATCAGAGATGAGAATGAAGAGTATCAAAGCCATATTTGAAGAGTGGCCTGAGAAAATTAGACAATATGATGAGCAGTTTATATTGGGAGATAATGAGGCAGCCACTGAACGTCCTGAAGAGGGTGAATCTACACAGCAACAGAGGCAACAATCTGTCCATAAACTTGCCAGAGAGCAAGTAGAACAAAATGTTACTTTAATAAGAAACGTCATGCTTAAAAGAGGTAGGTCGAGAAATTGAGGAATATGATGCTGGCGATTATGTTCATGTTAAGATTCCATGTGTTGATATCATTAGTTTGTAAAGTGGTAGAGGTGTTAGATATAGAGGGAGGTCAATACAAGCTTGGCTGTAGTTCAGGAATATCAGACATTTGTACCATGCAGCTGACTTGGAAGTTGTTGAAGCAGAGTTTCCTGACCTATTAACTATCCCGGAGACTGTTGTATCTTTGACCGAGGCACTTAGATTGCAAAATGCAGTTGGTAATAGTAATAGTAAGTGTAAATACAAGACTGATTGTTCCACACGAGGAATTCACTGTCATTTTACAAATACTGGCTGTGTTAACGACTACCTGCCAGTTATAAAAAGCATCAACTAATTAAAGACATTAATTTTTCTTTTTATTATTATGTTATTAATATTTGCTACTCATAAATAAATTCGCTTGTTCGGGTGTTAATCGTTGTTGTTGACATTATTATTGCGCATTATGAAGTGATATAATCGAGTATCACATACAACAATTCTCCATTGATATGGGAGAAACGAATTGGTGAGAGTGGATGATTAAAATCATCTTTATCTTTCAGAGAAAATGCACTTCATGCATTAGTAGAGCCAGCATGGCTTATTCGATTTCGTGCTTTCCACACTTAATAACATACACTATCCGGACAAAAGTCTTGCACATCGAAAAAATTTAATTACACAAAATTATACATAATAATAATATGTCAAATTTTAATATATCGTTGTTTTGGTTTTGAACAAACGCGTGTATAATTTTCGTGTTGTTTGTAAACACACATCAGAATATATAAATAAATCCGCAATAACTTCTAACCTTTATTGATCTGCCCATTAGTAAAGGTAGACGGTAAAATGAATAGATTTGACTACATACAAATACTTAAAAAGCATTTATTGGCTTCAAGATAATAATGCTCCAGTCCGTACTGCTGAAGATGTTAAGAAATGGATTTTAATGAACAAAATCAAAGTCTTACCAGATTGGCCAAGCCAGTCTCCTGACTTGAATCCAATTGAGCATTTATGATCGGAGCTGGAAGAAGAATAAGAAGCAAACCACAGGCAATAACAAATCTTGCAGAATTAGAGACAACATTACAAGAAGAATGGGGCAAGATTTCACAAAGTCAAGTAATGGCTTTGATAGAAAGTATGCCACGGAGAATAAAAGCTGTTATTGCAAACTATGGGTGGCCAAGAAAATACTGATTTATATAGTAATAGTTACTTCATTGGTCAAAGTATTATCTGTTAAAATTTGAAATGTTTTTCGATGTGCAAGACTTTTGTCCGGGTAGTGTATGTAAAGTAGGGGAAAAAACGTGTCGTGCGAGCAACACTGCAAATACTCAAGGCAGTTTTCCGAAAATTATATTTCAATTAATGGAACAAGGGCTATGTCAGCCGGTGAGCAAATAAAGAAATTGTTAACGGACTTGAGAATATTTACGCACTCAAATATAATATAAAGGAGGCTATGTGTCGGTGGATATGTTAAAACAGCCGTAAAGAGTCTAACGCATTGGTAACTATCATTTCACGTACAAAAGTATTGCATCATCAATAATGTAAAAAACTTTTTTTTTGATCTCAAGAAAACTCCCTGCTTCCATACAAGTGCATACCGCAACTGTACATAATGCATGTGATTATCATAATAATAATACACAGTGAAATTCACTTCAACGAAGACATTCGTTCCACGATTTTGCTTCGTTAACCTGAAAGTTCGCTTAAGTGAACTGTCTTTTTATATGAAATATATGAATCCGTTCTGGAAAGAACTTCGTTATAAAGCGATCTTCGTTAAAGTGAGACTTTGTTAAAGTAAATTTCACTGTGTAATAATAAAGTCATTTTATAATACAATTCTGGATACTGTGATTACTATAAACCGACCCCCTAAGTTTGCTTATTATTATTCACGATAATACAGTGTAGGTACTTTGTGGCTGGTGCACCAGCCAAATTCAATATGATTGTCGATCGATTTTTTGGGCCGAGTTATTTGATGCAACTCGTTTAAATTATTCTCACCCGGATGATGCAAAGAAGAAACATCAATTTATTGCCTTTATGGATATATTACAATCACTAGTACTAGTTTATTACCGAGTCAACTATTTCCTACAGTCTGCTGATTAAGGATATTGTCGCAACTGCTCGTGCCCTACGCTTAATTTGGTTCATACCAATAAATAATTATCAATTCAAGAATCGTTGTATAACTCAATAAAATAATGCAGAATGGGTTTTCTTTTTTCCTCTCCCTCTTCTTCTTTTTGACTTACGCACATAGCAAGCCAGTTTTTAAACCTTATAATAGTATTATTTAGCTGTAAATCGTAAGTCATAATTCAGAAATTACGATTCTACTGCAAATTGACTTTTTTAGCGTGATTTTTCTCAAGACTTTTCGCTAAGTAACATATACAAGTGTCTTAGAATATAACTCCTGGAGGAAGTACTAGAATACCTCTTTCGTTTGCAAATGTTTCCATCGGATCAAAATCCTGACACTCGAGCAATCTGATTTCTCTCAGCCTTTCAAGCCCTTGATTCATTGGTTGGACCGCTTGATAACTGATGTTTCTGCAGCGTTCGAAAGTAAGACTTTCCAAATTATAACACGCTGCCAGATTTTCTAACGACTGGATAAGCGAGAAGTCCATTTGCTCAAATCGGAGACAAGTAAGCGTTCCAGCATGTTTGGGTAAAATTTCGAGAACGGGACTCGGATCGTCTCCAGAAATATTTTGCATTCCGTAAGTACCATTCCAGACAAGGCATTTGAGTTTGGGTTGGATGTTTATAAGTCTCAAGGCTGCCTGCATGATTTCGGCAAAGTGATCTGTGCCGAAACAATAAAAGCTAAATACAAGCTTGGACTAAATTTGAATCAGGAAATAATGATAAACGAACCAATCAGTGATGATTGTCTAATATGTTTCAAATACCTCCGAAATATATCAACAGTCTTATACTTACAATGTTTTTACAATTCCTCGCCAGTCCGTTAATTAGAGCTACAGAATTAAACGGCCCCCGAATAACTAAGATGGTTATTTTGCCAATCCACTGAGCAAACTCAGGTTCAAGAACAAGTTGATAATTAATTATCCACGCCGGATTCTGATGAAATCCGACGCATCGAAGCTTCTCAATAGGCTTAGTACAAGTCTTAAACTGTCGAAGCAGTTCCCGAGCAACTTCTCTCCGCATTTCAAGCGTATTATAAATTAGAGAACCTCTGGATTGGTGTTTCTCTAACCATCTATGGATGTTAGAAAATAGCGCTTCCAATGAAACAGATCTTATGCATTGGCAATATTCCATGAATGTCGTCTCAGGGACCAAAGCATAAATTCCTAAAGACTGCTTAACGTCCCTTGGTAATGAAACCAATAAAACCTCCAGGGCTGACATGTGAAACGACCCATCGAAGATGTTGGCCCAGAATTTTCGTAGAGAAGGAAAACACAGACATTTGCACGAATAGGCTATCCGTAGCAGATCACGTCGTCGGAGACATACTAAATGATACTCAAGTGAATATGGATCATACTCTGATACGACAAGGTCAACTATGGAATCTAGGATTTCAGAAGGAAGCACTTCAAACGGATTTTGAGCCATTCGAGCAGAATCAAGCGGTTTAGTGCTTTGGTAAAGTTTAAGATTCAACATTTATATGGAATCTCGACTAATTATCTTAAACAAATGCAACGGCGTGGTATCAGTTGAATGAGGACTCATTTCACACCGTATACCAGACTTGTAACTGACTTTACAAAAAAAAAATTTTTTTGATATGTAAATCGGTACCATAGACATGCTTAAATGGACTTTTGTATTACGGATATAATAATAATAATAATAATAATAATAATAATAATAATAATAATAAGGAATTTGAATAAAGTAATTTCTTGGCAATAACGCCACAATGTTGGATTATTCATCAACCAAACAAAAAATCTGTGATAATAATAACGTAATAATATTGCTTCAAGCTGGTTCGAAGACAAGTGTAAAAGATTATCCCGTGATTTAAGGAATTATGACAAAACGATAGCAACAACAGTGCACACCCAATTTATTCTGGTATACCAAAATGTCTAGGAAGTCGAATTTGCGCGAAAACAGTTTAAACTCGCGTAAAGAATTTACGCATATTAATATGCCGATTTGCCTATGGAATCAACATCATCCCCAAGAATTTTTTTACTTTATCATTCCCTTGTAATGTAAGCTCTTCAATTACTATTCATTATCGCTGAGTCATAATACCTGCTTCATAAGGCTGTTCGATGAGCCGTTATGCTCGGAAGTAACATTACGTGAGTCGATAAGAAAAAATTCAAGCATTGCATCCCGTATACTAGAATTCCAGTAATAGCATACAAGCAAAACTTGTTCATACACTAGGATCTTTATAAAGACGAGGGTAAGTGATCACTTAAAGTCAACAAAAACAGTAAGTTTCCAAAAGAGCAGTCTCCGAGACTTCATGCAATGAAAGTCAGTTGGAGTTTTCTGATCTTTATTGCCAAGATAGTTGTTGATACAACGGTTTTTAAAATTAGACGAGGATGCAACGCCCAAGTGCAAATATTGACTAAACCACTACTGTCCTCATATACTATATATGGCTATAATTTGTGTATTAAAGCGGTCGGAATTGATTACAATATCTTACAAAGAAACTCAAGTGTTAAGTATTAGTATCACTATTAAATACTATTAAACGATTAATCAATTATTTGGACCAATCAGAATTCCAAAGTAACAAATGATCTGCAAACGGTTTAGAGATACTAATACTACTCTTTGCCAATATCGACATGTCTTTGTTTAACGTACAAAATTACAAAACAAATTTAGATGCTGCAATACAAGCAGTTAGTATTTGGTTCTTACGCGCTAATTATCTTGACACTCTTAAGTAATGTTAATATTAACGATTCTTCACAGCTAGATGATTTACGTATATCTGTAGGGGACCTTTACAATTATTTGGGAAGAACGTGGCAAGAAAAAGATGAATCAGATGGTAAAACGAAGGAGCACACCGAAAATTATGTGTATAATTGTGAGATGAATCCGATACATAATTCTGATCTATGAACATACTCTATACATTTTCCTTCAGACGACTCTTCTGAATCTCTTAGTTTATCTGAAGATTCTACTACTGCTGAACTGCCTCCCGTTATACTTCATATTGACACCCTTAGGCTTAAATTAGAGAAGACGTATGTCGCAGAGAAGTCATTTGGCAACCAAGTCGATACTTGCAAAGGTGAGGATGACAACGGTCAATTAACTAAATCGACTGTGTCAAGTAATTAATAAACTACATCAGGTTTTTTAGAGAATGTTGAGAAAATTGTTGAGGCCAGAGGCGAAGATATGAAATCTCTCCCATTATTAAAGTCAGTTCATTAATACTTTAGGGATTATATATTGATGCGTTTAACGTAATTAACTAACGATTCGATCTCATGATTTAGACTCCATAAAGACCCACCTGATTTGTCTCTTACAACATACTGCCAAACAATTGAACAGAACGGTCGAGATGCATTGGAGTAAGCTTGAAGAATCTTGCAGCTGTTAATAATGTCTGTTCGTCATATTGATATTATTTTAAATCTACAAGTGTTTTTCTCGACGAATATAACAAATATTTCACACATATCAAAGATCTCACTCAGCTAGACAGAAAGGCTTTGGATCAAAGGTAAAAGTTTGTATTCATTGTGATGATGACATCTGCGATTATATACTGTAGCTCTTTGTCTAATCTTGCAATCTTTGTTTATTCGCGTTTTCGCGTAGTCTGGACGAAATAATACAATCATGGTTATCGCAAGCTCCTCCAAAACCAAAAATGCAAATAGAACGCATCGTGCCCGAAGCAAAAAGAAACGTGTCGACTATGGCTGTATGTAAATCAAGACTTTCATTTGTAACCGTGCGAGTTTGTAGGCCATCCCTTCTATTAAACGTTCCATTTGCTCATAGGTGACCGTGGATGGAATATTCAAGGTAACAATAATATTCAAAACGGGTAGGACTGGAATACCAATCTCGATTATACGGATATCCTTTACTGGAGCAAATGAGCAGGTAGAAAGAATAAAACTGTGAATCCTTGTGTGTCCAAATTGCTAGTACTAATGTACACTGCCTGTAAATAAGAAATCAATACGCGAATCATCCGATCTGTTGGTATATCAAAAAATCACTCAGATTGCAATAAATAAGCTCAATGATTTGGATACAGATAATCCAATTCACGACCTGCTGGTAAGCAATTAATTGTGAACTAATCGGTTACAGTGTTTGTTATTCGTATTAAAGTTTCCTCTTTTGTAATGCACAGAATTGGATTTCCAGTTACCATGACATTTTCTCCAGTCCTTGTTATACATGTAATAAATGTCTTAGGTATGACTCGGATGAATACAACTTACTTCCACCTGTAATTAGACTATTAAAGAACAGAAAATACTATACTCTGCATTCAACTTGCAGTGTGCCAAGCTAGATGTACAGAAGCAATCAATGCGAGCAATGATGGTTCGAAGAGATAGTCTCGCAGCACAGGAATTCAAGATCAGTTTAATATTAAAGGTTTTTTTATTTGTAGTTCAATATGAAACATACAGTATAATTTTTGGTTTCAACATATTTATATTTGGTAATTCCTTGTTATTATGAAAGTATTGAATTTAAACTTCATGATTCCTGGACACACCAAATTCAAATGCAATGGCAGTTTGGCTTGATTAAAAGCTTTGCAGAAAAACCACTGTAGATTGTGTAAACCATATTGTTGAGGTAGGAAACCCTATTTTTGCTGGATTGAATAAAGCTTGGTTATAGTGTTATGAGGATGGTCTTAAGCATTTTTATCAGAGAATGAATTTAAAGATATAACTTGTCCCAAGCCAGTACAAACTATTGAATAATTTTGTATACAATTATAGAATTTGCTGTCGTTATAGAATATGACCTGTCAAAAGCTTTGTATGTCTCAAGAAAAGAAACTACGATCTTGAATCTTCTGACGGCATTAGTTCATAATAGTGAATATCGTCGAACGTACGATTAGTTTCGGGTTTTTGTTTAATTTTCCCTGGTATATACTAGCTGATTGCAAGAAAAACAATAGCTACTACTATTGTCGGGTAATATAAAGCCGTTTGGTAATTTTACTGTTAATAGACATAAGATTATTACCATAAACTCTGCCGGAAGATCAAAAGTCTCACCGTATGCCACATTTTACAAATTTTAGAATTTGTGGGTCATTTTGCTTGAAAGCAGGGGGGTTTACAGGGAGGCCAGAGTTTACGGTATCTCTGTTCGGACTTGTGGCATAGTGCAATATTCGACCCATTCTTCAGCAGGACCGTAATGCAAGTTTAATTTTATTCATCGGTTAGAGAAATTAATTTTAGAAGCAAAGCTTACTTCTTTCTGGCCATACGTATACAACCAAAACTTGATTCAATTTTCGCGACTGCTTCGACTTGATTTTGTTTAAACAAGAATGAGAACTGATACAGTCTATAGTCACACTGTCGGGAACAATGCAACTTTTGTTGAAAATGTGCTTATAAAGAGGTTGTGACTATATAGAGGGTTTTTTCTATAA